AGTTACTATGAAATCCAAACAGGATTTGGCCCCAGGCAGTCTGACTCCAAAGATTATGCTTTTAATTATTATGTTACACTGTTACCCAGGGTCTGCTAGTTGTTATATTTTTCATTTCTACTGCTAAGCAGCTCCCTTTTCCCCATCAATCTCTTTTGAAAAGATACTGAGCTTTTTAAACAGGTGTTTAGGTGGGAAATCTCTAGCGGTAACATAAAGGCAGTTGTATAGGGGTTATGAATGGCTGACATAGAGGTTAGCCAACAGATTTATTGTGCTAGGACAACCACAGCCACAAACACAGTAATTTTCAAATCATAACTTGGATCACAATCATAATTTTGAACAAAAAGAATAAAACAATATTCTTAAAGAGTTATTTAATTCTTATCTTTTGCCTGGTGCTTATCATTCAGAACAATCAACAGCTGAGGGAACAAAATGCTTTCTTCTTTAGAGAATGTTAATACCTGAAAATCCAATTAGCTTAAACCAATTAAAATGGCTGTTTTTAAAGCCCAGGCACTTCCAGGAGGTGGCTGTAACTGTGGAGCATTTTGCAAAATCATGTGATGTAACAAAGAGATGCCTACATCGGGGACATTTGTGAACTCCAGAGTTCCACTTGCATACACATAATGTCAGCATATGAAGTTCTGATAGTGAGGTCCCTCCGTCAGCAGTATCAGCATCACCTGGGAACTTGTTAGAAATGCAGATTCTGGGCCCCCCACTCCCGTACTTACAGCTGCTAAAGCAGAAACCCCGGTGGTAGTGGGGCCCCACAATCTGTTTGGATAAGACTTCCAAATGATTCTGATGCCTGCTCAATCCCGAGAACTACTAATACAGCCATGGTGATAGCAAAACAGCCTCAACTCAAATTGATGGCTGTAATTGTCTTGTTTACCATTCCTCTAGTTACATATTAAGCAGTATTTGCAGTTTGCCAGTATTGCATATAGATGTTCTCCTTTATTCCAGTCTTGGCTTATAATGAAATTAGATGCTGGAAAAAAAATAAACAAGTCATGGTTGAAAGGAAGGCTGCTCTTCACTATGTGTTACATACAGTCTGTACTTCATCCTCAATCCTAAACCAGCACATCTGATGGGCTACTAAATTGCTGAAAAGTTTCCAAGTCTTTTCAGTTTCAGTTGCATAATACTCTGGCCTTGGAAACTGCCTTTGTTTACATTCAGCGTTTTCCTATATTTTATAACATTTCTCTTAGTTTCCTTGGACAAAATAAATGGCTGTAAAGTGTGAGGTAGGCAACACTTGTCTTAGTAATAACTTCAGGCCTTTCTAGCAACATGGGAAATAGCACTTACCTAAATAGTAATTTTACTACCAAAGTAAAAGTTCATTTGCATAGTAAGATTCTATTTGCACTTGCTATTTTAAGTGACAGTGAGAACATGAACTGTAAGTCTAGAATCCTGAGAGTGATTTTGCCTCTTCTTCCTGATATATGATGCCCTTTGCATCCTGTGATTCATAATCCATTTGGGTCATGAAACATTGATGAAGGGAAGCCGGTGACAGTAATGGAGTTCTGTTAGGTCAGGCTTCACAGGAGAGACAGATCATATTTCACTGGTGAAAAGTGCCTCAAATAAAAGGAGGTGGCTTGGGACAAAAATATTAGTGCTTTCTCTCTTTTCTCATGCCATTCATGGGTCATTTATGACATTATTATACAAAAGCTCAGTTTATTTCTTACCATGTGTCCACATTTTAAAATTTTGTTTATTTTATTAATGAAGGAACCAGCAGGAAGACAAAAGAGCTAGTTCCAAAGTAAAGGAACAGAGGGCGCCTGGGTGGCTCAGTTGTTTAAATGTCTGCCTTTGGCTCAAGTCATGATCCCAGGGTCCTCAGAGCCCACATCCAGCTTCCTGCTCTTCGGGGGGCCTGCTTCTCCCTCTCCCTCTGCCTGCCACTCCCCATGCTTGTGTTCTCTTTCCCAATCTGTGTCAAAAAAATAATTAAAATCTTTAAAAATAAAAAAATAAAGGAACAGATTTATGGACCTAGTTGGGAAAGAAATGCCAAAATAAGTTTGCCAAATTTGATACAAGGTTGGTTAATTTCCACAAGACAATAAGATCATAACCCCTTTGGGGTTAACCTCTCCACCAGTCTATAGCATCCTAAAAACATCAGTTTTGTGAAAGGTTATAAACCATCTGCACCTTTTCTTTTTTAAAGATTTATTTATTTATTTATGAGAGAGAGAGAGAGAGAAAGCATGAGCAGGGAGGAGGGGCACAGGGAGAAGGAGACACAGACTTTCTGGTGAGCAGGATGGATAGTGGCCCCCAAGAAAGTTATGTCCATACCCTAATCTCAGGAACCTGTCATAATCAATCTCACTTATATTTTTAGAGCTCTCTTTCCCCAGCCCCATCCTATTTATCTGGGTTGAGAGAAAGTAGTAGCTTTCATGGGGCCCAGAAAATAAGAGAAGGTGCTTGTTCATGGTGGCCATTGAGCCTGGCCCACCTCAGAGTGAGGCAGTGATGCCTATGCAGGCCCGGACGGGTCCTTATTACCCTCTTCCTCTTCTCCTCTTCTGACCACAGACACGACTCCAGAGGCCTTACCCCTGTGCTGCTAACAAGCCTAGCTCTTTACTAGGCAGCCCACAAAATCCCCGGCAGCCATTCCTAATCCCCAGAACTAGGACAGTAGGGCTTTGCTAACACGGACCTCTGCTACTCCAAGCACAGGATAAAAAAACAAGTCCCATCTCAATTCCCTAGAAACTCTCCTTAGCGTCTTGGATTGACTAGGAAACCTTGACTGAGAACACAGAGCTACCTTCTGGGAGTAGGGAAGTGAAATACCTCTAATTAATCAATTCATATATTCCCCAATAGCATATTTTCAACAAGTATTTATTGACTGTTTACGGAGCAGCTACTGTTTCGAGGAGATACTGGGGATACAGCAGTGAATACATCAAGGAAGAGAAAATATAAATTAATGTTTCAATAAATTAATCTTCCTTGTTCATTAATGCAAAATATAGTCTAAGATTATTATTTATGTTCAGAAGTGTTCATAGCAACTATTTCATTATTACGTTCAGCCCACAGTATTCTTGAGGGCTTCTTAGTTGACTCCTTCAACCATGCATGAAACTCTGAAAGAGAGCTTTTCTAAATTTTGCATCTTCCCAAAATGGTCAGTGAACCACAGCGTCTGATGAGAGGCAGTATAGTGCAGTGGTTATGACCATGGCCCAGAAGCATCAGCCCTACCACTTCGTAGCTGTGTGATGTTCAGCGAGTTAATTAGCTCTCTGTGCCTCAATGTCACGGACTCAATAATAATAATACCTACTTCACAGGTTGTTGAAAAGACAAAGTGAATTACAGTATCTAAAGGACTTGAAGCAGCATCTGACATGTAGTGAGCCCTGGTATTACTACTGTGTAATAATAAGGGGGGGGGAGGGTGGTTCCTCTTGAGGACCAGTGATGGTAGAGAAAAAATGAAAAGCAACTGTACTGTATAGATGGTAAGTCCTTAGTGAAGGCCGAAGTTTTGCTCTAGAACAGTGGTTTTCAAACATGGATGCTTTTCAAAATCACCAAAAGAACCTTTCAAACATTTAATGGCCAGGTCCTACCCCCAGATTCTTTGGTCTAGGGTGGGACCCAGGCCTGTTCACATAATTCCCATAGAAGTAGAGGTTGAGCATCCCTGGAGGAGAGGAACCAGATACATGGATAAAAGTTGATAAAAGGCTTGACTCCAGAGGCTTGACTCCACGAACCTCCCTCCTCCTACTCCCCAAGCATCTAGCTGCCTTATCAGTGCAATCCCTTATTCTGCAATCTGTAGACATTCTTAGAGCACATACCACTTCTCAGGCCCTTGGCTAAGTAAAGCAGAACAAAAGTTAGAGACAAAATCCTACCTTCATGGATCACACAGTGTAGCAGAAAGATAGACAAGAAAGTGAGCAATCACATGGAGAAAAATCACAAATACTATGACTGCTCATGGAGAGAGGTCTGAACCAATTATAGTACATACTTACTGGGAAATCCCTGGGCAAGAATGAGGTGGATCCATAAATACTAAATGTGGAACTCTCCAAGATATATTGTTGAATGATGAAAAGTAAGCTACAGAATAGCATACCATTTATGTTTCGAAAATTCTCGAAACACATTACTATCTCAGGTACATAAATATATATGCAACTGAAAAGGAGAAATTCTAGAGGTATACCTCTTATTTTCCATGATTACTTTTTTCAAGAGAATGTATTTCATTTTTGTGAGCTTAAAAATGAATAACAATTTTAAAATTCCAGCAGACTCTTTGTGGGGCCAGTCTTCTGGAATATATGCATTTAGCTAAGTTAAGATGTATATCATGTTGCCTGTTAATTGTGACAAACCAGTCGGCATTATCAAACATGATTTTATCTAAGTAACTAATATTTAGCTGTGCAATGTCCCAAGGAAACAGGACATGAGGGTAAGGCAAAGGAAAGAGAACTCAAGCATGAGGATCTGCTGTGTATATAAGGAGAGGGTCTAGCAGCCACCTTCCATCTCTGCAGTTTGCAGTTTTAACTGAGGTGAACTGGAAGCTTGAATATCAGTTCCTAGGTCTAGGCTTCTAATGGAGAGTCTCCATCTTAGCTGCATATTAGAATCCTGTGGGGGGACTTACTAAAATAGCAATGCCTGGAATCATGACTAATTAAAGTAAGATCCTTGGAAGGCTGGGCCTGGGCTTTGCTTTTAACATGACCAGAGCTGAGACTCACTCTTAGAAGAATCATGCATACATGTTCACACAATTTTGGCACCATCCCAGTTTGGGCAACATCATGCTTGCGAAGTACTCCAAAAATAACATCCTTTGCAGATGCTTCTTAAACTCGAGGGAAATATGAGAAAAGGAAAAATATTTGTATTTTTTGTATTCAGTAATCCCAAAACTATAACACCATGTGTTTGGTTTATTTCAGGCTCGACTGACCAAAGAACAGCGCTGGGGAAGTGCATTACTTTCTAGAAACCATTCCTTGGAAGAAGAATTTGAAAGGGCAAAAGCAGCAGTGGAGGTAACTTTTTTTTTTTTTTAATTGTTCTTCTGTTTCATGTTTCTGGAAGTGGAATTCAAAAACTGAAACTTCAGCAGGATACATATGAAATGAGTCTCACTTTATAGACAGGAAATAACCATGATAATGATTGTTAGAATGAGATTTGTTACCGGAGAAATTTTGACTTGCCACCAGAGGTGATTAATAGATGTCAATTCCTAAACCAATTCTGTGATAGATTAGCAATCTGTCTGGAGCCCTGGTCAGAAAGATCTGAGTCTCATCTGGGTTCTATGATGAACCCATGCTACACATTTGCTATGCCTCTGTGAGGTCAAGGTTCACATGCCTGAAACACAGAAGATCGTGCTGTTTCTGAAATACACATTTTCTTGAGTGGGATAAAAAGCATGGCTGAGATAGTCTAGCCAATGGATAGTTGAGCCATAAATTTTTACTGTTAAGGGGGTTCAAAACAATGACAATGTTGAGGGCAGCCTGGGTGGCTTAGTGGTTTAGTACGGCCTTCTGCCCAGGGCCTGATCCTGGAGACCCGGGACGGAGTCCTGCGTCAGGCTCCTTGCATGGAGCCTGCTGCCCTTCTGCCTGTGTCTCTGCCTCTCTCTCTGTGTCTCTCATGAATAAATAAGTAAAATCTTTTAAAAAAAATGACAATGTTGATAGAGCAAATGAAGTACCTAATTTGCACATTAATTACCTTATTTAGCCTTTTAATAAGATTCCTTTCTGGTTGGAATCACAAGGAGTGCATCACAGACACCATCTATGATACTCCTCAAAGCTTTGTTAGATTGCTATTTAAGCGTGGAGTTTTTCACCAAACCCAAGTATGAACTTGTTAGGACCTCCATTTCTATTACTGGAAATTGAAAGTATTCCTGTGATATGGTTCATTTATGCGATTGTCTTGCCACTAGGATTTGGATAAAATTATTATACTTTGAGCAGTCTTTCAGTAGCCCCATACTTGAAATGCAATTAAATCACACTTTCAGTTTCATATTAAAACGGTTCTTTATATTCTAGGAAATAATTCTGTCTTAATGTTATATCATCATTCAGCAATCCAGTAGGAGAACGACTTTATCTCATCACAGTACAATCCACCCAAATTTCTTCTTTTAATTTTATCCTTTTTTAGTTTAAAAAAAATTAATGCACTAGTGTTCTTGAATGTGATAAACTGATATATTTGATTGAGACCAGCTGAGTTCAACTTATTCAACTACATGGAGCATGTAACTGAATTTATCTTAAATGTAGATTTTTCCAGACTTAAGAGCTAATTTAAATTCATCTTTCGAACTCCTACTATGTGTAGCACACTAAATTATCACTAAATAGAAAGTGATTTACTTGAGTAAGTAAAGACACTAGATTTCATCTGGTCCCAGAAACACAATGGGTTCAGTCTCAGAGGACATAATTACTAAGTTAAGGTATCAACAAGGAAAAAATTATTCACTTATCTATCTGTGTGTGTTTGTGTGTCTATACATATATTCACAAAATCATTTAATCTTAGTTTTGGTGGAAGACTTAGAAGTCATCTATCCCAACCAGGCATATAAAATAAAATTTGTTTTCTTTTCAAACATACTTGGTAAATTATTTATTCAAACATATCCTGTTTCTACTTGAATATTTCAAATTAGTGGCAACTTCTTTTCAAGAAAACCTGCTTCCAATTTGGACAGATCTAACTATTAAAAAGCTCTTCCCTGTGTTATGCTGAAATTGGCCTATGAGCAACTTCCAGTTTTCCTTAGTCTTGGCTTTGCTCTCTCTAGAACAAGGCAGAATTAGTTTAATCCCTTCTTTCCATGATCCCCACATGATCCCACGAAGCCTTGTCTTCTGCTGGCGTCTCCTTGTCTCTCCTGGGAATTGAGAGACTGATTTGTTATTCCAACTCATCACTAATAGCTAACTGACAACATACATTTCATTAACCAACATAGGCTTCAGTTTCCACACATTTATGGTCCTTTCCCGCTTAGAATCCTTGGAGGCTGTAAGTTACTTCAAGTAGTCATTCATTCAACAAACAGCACTGGCTGGCTACGTGCACTGACTGCTGAACCAGGTACTTAGAGACAAAGAAATGAGCCAACCCCGACCAGCTGTCTCATAGCCTAGACCAGAGAACCAGCTTGGAAAAATCACTTGCTCCATCTAGTTTAGTTTCTTCACCTGTAAGATGTGGGCTTGATTTCTTTTTTTTTTTTTTTATAAAATTAATTTTTATTGGAGTTCAATTTACCAACTTTACAGAATAACACCCATGCTCATCCCGTCAAGTGTCCCCTCAGTGCCCGTCACCAAGTCAACACCACCCCCGCCCTCCTCCCCTTCCACCACCGCTAGTTCGTTCCCAGAGTTTGGAGTCTTTAAGTTCTGTTCCCTTTCTGATTTTACCACATCATTTCTTCTCCCTCCCTTATATTCACCTTCACTATTATTCATATTCCCAATTGAGTGAGAACATACATGTCTTCTCGATTGACTTACTTCACTCGCATAATACCTCCAGTTCATCCACACAACCGTTTATGCAATTGGTGGGTATTTGTCGTTTTCTAATGGATGAGTTTATTCCATTGTTATACATAAACCCATCTTCTTTATCCATTCATCTTTCGATGGGCACGAGGCTCCTTCCACAGTTTTGGCTATTGTGGACATGGTGCCTGAAACATCGGGGTGAAGGTGCCACGGCGTTTCATTGCATCTGAATCTTCGGGGTAAATCCATAACAGTGCAATTGCTGGGTGTAGGGAAGGTCTATTTTTAATTCTTTGAGGATCCTCAACGTTTTTCCAGTAGTGCGGCACCAGTTCACTTTCCCACCAACAGTGTAATGAGTGTTCCCTTTTCTCCCCATCTCTCCTTCATTTGTTGTTTCCTTGCCTTTTTAATTTTCCCCATTCTCACTGTGTAAGGTGGTATTTATTGTGATTTTTGATTTGTATTTTCCCTGATGGCAAGTGATGCTGAGCATTTTCTCATGTGCATGTTGGCCATATCTATGTCTTCCTCTGTGGATTTCTATTATACTATTATACCTATTATCTATGGCTTCAAGTGAAATGAATAGTTAGTACAGAATTCTCAGCAAACCAGAAATCTCTAAACAAAATGGCTCCTCTGGAAGCCTGGAACTGAGAAGCTTCCTTAGGGAATGGAGGATATTGCTGACCAGAAGGTATGAACAGATGTGGAGGAAAAAGAGGATAGAGGGGAGTATTTCACTAAGCTGATGGGAAATCAGACCTATAAAACTGCACATGTATGCAGACTCTTTACTTCCCAACATTATTCTTATCCAAGGGTAAAGTCTAATTCACAGTAGAAGGTATGATGAAATGCATCCAAGAATACATGCTATTGACCCAGCCACTTCTTACAATTTATAATCATGAAAGTTTACAATATTTTTTTTAAAATATGGAGAATTTGGAAACAGCCTAATTGTCCCATAACAGAGAATTAGCTAAATTGTATCTCTTAGTAAAAATGCTGTGTAACCATTAAAAACTACATTATGAAAAATATTTAAGAACATGTAAAAATGCCTGGTGATGACTGGAATAATAATGTATTTACTAATAGTTTTACAATATGTTCCCGACTTTGTAAAAATGATAATGGCATAGTACCTAACATGTTAAAAGTACATACAGTATGCAAGTCAGGAGCTTTATATGGATGATCTTATTTAAGCCTCATAGTAGTCCTATGAAGAAGATAACACTACTATTCTCATTTTGCAGATGAGGAAACTGAGGCTTAAAGTGATTTCAGTTATGTGCCATTTTATAAGCAATTAAGATCAATTGAAAAATGAGTAACACTCAGTTAGCAAGTTTCAAAGCCATGATTTTCACCCAGACTCCAAAGCCCGTGTTCTGAATCATTGCACTATGTAAGCTTAAAGAAAATCTCTGCCCAAATGTTGATGGTGGTTCTATCAGGTGCTGGCTTTGGAGTAGTCTTATTTCTTCCACTAGCTTATCTGTATTTTCCAAATGTTCCATCATAAACATGTATTATGTTGGTAATCAACCAAAAAGTGATGTTATAGACACTGTAGTGGGATATAGGATTCTTAAAAGAACTCAAAGTTCCTTGTTCTTCATTTCAAAACAAGTAAAGAGTGGTGCTGCAGATTGGCCTCATTAGAGACAGTTCTCAACACTAGTGAGACCCAGATGAAAATCAGGCCTGGAGCATGGTGAGGTTTTCCAAAGTCTCTCTCTTATAGTCTTATATCATCTGATTCCAGTATCCCTTCTATTTCACATTTTATTCCATTTTTAAGTCCTATTTTTTGGTCATCGTCCTGCCTCTTGACCTGACACCTGGTTCCCCTTCCAGCTCCTTCTGTTCCTCAGACCCCCGTGAGCCCCAGGGACCCTGAGATTCTCTCTCTTCTTCTCACACGACAACCTCATTGCTCACCATCCCTGCTCTGTCTTCTGCAGGGACACACTTCCCCCAGATCTTCATGCAGCAGGTTCCTTCTTGTCATCTAAATTTTAGCTTGAGTACCAATGCCTCAGGAAGCTGAACCTGACCACCCAGTTGCTATCACAGCACCTAGGGTTTTTTCATCCTTATATTTATTACTAGGTCTTTTCTTGTTTGTTTTTGTCTGTTTGTTGCTTGTCTTTTTACTTTAAAGTGTAACCTCCATAAGAAAAGAGGCCTTGTCTCTTATTAACCACTGTACCCCAATACCTAGAACAATATCTGGTACCTAGTAAGTATTCAGTAAATATTTGTTGAATTAATGGATGCCTGGCTGATTATTAATCACCTAATGTGGACACACTTCCATCTGTTGCATAATATAAAGAACTGTATCACCTCCTAATATAGTTTAGTATTTACATTTTCATGGTTGATGGAAACAGTTCTGTCTATACCATCCAGATTTCTGCCCAGGACTCTGCTGAAATGTCCTCTGTGGTTGTCTTGGTCTCATCAATCAGTGA